ATTACTTAATGTTTTGCTCGATTCCTCTTCGAGATATACCGCGTGCGTCTCAAAAGTGGCTCACCCCTACAACTTTTTTATTTTTTTCAGTTAAAAAAACGAGATTTGGTATGTTAGTATATGACATAAATTAGGATTGATTGACGTATTCAATTGTTTTTGGTCACTTCCTGTTTCACCGGAAACGACTACAACTTTTGATTTTTAAATGGCACCCTCGGTATTTTTTTACTTTATTCGATAGAAAATGACATTCTGAATAGAATGACTTATCATATGTCAACTTTTGACATTCTCGCTTAAAACAAAATTGAACTTTAAAATTCAATCTAGAGTGCCATGGTTATGTTAAAACCACTAATTCTTAATCAAGGAGCCTTGGAAAAATAGATTTGAATGTCTAATATTTTTAGTGTCTTGTCCTGGCCAGTTGGAAAATGCTCAAATCGTATTTTTAATCATATCTCAATTTTTTCAATAACTGGGGAACTAGGGTGGCTCATTACCATATTTGGAAAAAGCATTTTTTTACGAATAATTTGGTACCACACACTTGGTATTTCGAGTCAAATTTTCGTTACGAACCGCAAGTTGTAATTTCAAATAAACCATATGCGAAAATGTCAAAAGTTGACATGATATGTCATTCTATTCAGAGTGTTATTTCCTATCGAATAAAGTAAAAAAGTACCGAGGGTACCATTTAAAAATCAAAAGTTGTAGTCATTTCCGGTGATACAGGAAGTATTGAAACAATTAAATAAGTCAATCAATCCTAATTTATGTCATATACTAACATACCAAATCTCGTTTTTTTAACTGTAAAAATAAAAAAGTTATAGAAGTGAGCCACTTTTGAGACGCACCCGGTAGAGTGTGTAAAAATTCGCCCACTTTGAATAAGTAGGCTGTGAACGGCGCCAGCTGTAATGCCAAACAATTCTAGCTGTGAGCAGCAATTAAAAGGAAAATAATATTTGCAGTGAGAGATGCAAAATTTGATAACAATTTAAATTATATTTAACAACATCGACCCATTTAAACTATATCTAATAACAATAAAAATTAATAGCAAACCAAGACATGGAATTTTGGTACAGTTCGATATGTCGACCGTCCTCTGTTATGGACAGACGGGACGATTTTTGAACATTTGTCGTGGAATTCATTAACTCATTGGGGATGAAAGATGCTCTCGCATAACCGCTAAGTACTTGTAATTCTTGTCTAGATTATACGGGCAGTTTAAAAATAAGAACCTTTATTCTTCCGCAAAGATAAAATTCCATAGGCACTAAATCCGGCGGCCTCGATGGCCAACGGCTGAGATCTTGGTTAGCTATTCAATTATTCTCGAAATTGGCTGCAAAAAATTGCTGATAACTTCAGCGTTCTGAGGCGATGCCTTGTCTTGCTGGGAAAATATGTTTTAGAGTTCCATTAGGGGCGGATCATCAATAAGGGGTCCAAAGCCTACTAGTTAAAAGTGACGAACTTTTAAAAATGCTGTATTTCAAAGACAAAGACAAGACATTAATAAAATAAAATGTGCTATATTTTTGGAAAGGTAATTTTAAGTTCTTTTCATTTAATTAAAAATATACAGGGTGTCCCAAATAAAAAAAATTCTGTTGATGCCTCTTAAATTATTAAATTTAAAGACAAATATATTTAAACCATTAAATTCTACGTAAAAAAGTCCTTTGGAAATGTTCTCATAAAGATACAAAATTTTACCATAGCAAAAAAGTTAACAGCGATTTGTTAAAAATGCACATTTTTGAAAAACACCCCGTAACTCATAAACGGTAACAGATACCACTGTGCGGTTTTCACCACATGTTTTTCATAAAAATTGAGCTCCAGATACCGATATTAGTTTTTGTCTATCTCCTTTAGAAAAGGGTGTTTTGCTTTAAAAACGTTCAGTTTGACCCACCCCGTACATGCATTTTAGCGGTTGCTAAAACAAAGCTAAAACTGGCCAATTTCGCTGCACCTGGACTGTACAACCGGCATGCAAAACTGGTTTAAACGTTTCAGCAAAAATGTATAACAAACACGTTTTATAGAGACATCATTCGCTTAGATATTTTTAACTCGGGAATATTTATATCTTTATCCGCTCTAATACATTGAATTAATTTCACTTTCAGATATAGGTCTTTACAGACATTTAATATAAGTGTCAACGGTGTTTTATTTTAATATATACTAGCATGCGAAGTTATTTTTTCCTTGAACGTATTTCTTGTATTAACGGCATATGCAAATTTATTTATAGGGTCGTTGGCCCACAGATAAAGACATAAAGATTATTAAAGGTGTAAAATTGTCAGGAATGTAGAAACAGCTAAGATTGCAACAGTTTTGATGTCTTTTATTAAAAAACACGATTCTTTACGACTTTTGGAAAATTTATACATCTACATCATAATTTTCTTAAGCGGCCCTCACACGATCAATAATATTGCCAATATTTTTTATTGTCAATGTTTTATCAATATTTGAAAGGTGGCCTGACACGGTCAATACATATATCAATATTAAGTTTTGTGCAGATATTAAGTGTGAATTATACACTATATCAAAAAATAAAAGATAATAAAAGCGTGTATTGCCATCATTTTGGCATTTGTAAGTGAGAAAAAATCGAGAAAAAAATTTATAAAAAGGCGTTGGATAAAAAAAATAGATATCAAAAAGAAAAAGGTTTGGTCAACTAAATCTTCTAGAGTACGTTAATAAACAGGAGGCTGATGATTGCGATCCAAAACTGGTGAAAACAACGACGGCGATGTTCCGTCTTTCGCCATGGGTACCAATAAACTAGTTAATTCTTGTCAATCATGCGACCTAATGATCAATATATTGTCAATACGACTAGCTCCGCCTTTAATATTGTCGAGTATTTTCAGGGTCCCGAAAATCCATCAATATATTGAAAGTACTTCAATATGTACGCTCAAACGCTCAATAATATTGTCAATAATCCAAAATATTGACAATATTATTGATCGTGTGAGGGCCGCTTTACTGTTGCGGATACCGTGAGTCCATAACTTAAAACACACGAAATAACACTTGAACTTGAAACGAATTTATTACACGACTATCATTACAATGAACTACTTAAATATGAAAATTTATATTAAACCGGATGTGTCTCAAAAGTGGCTCACCCCTATAACTTTTTTTTTCAGATAAAAAACGAGATTTACTTTCTTTAGGTTAGGTTTAGTTGACATAAATTAGGATTGATTGACGTATTCAATGGTTTTTGGTCACTGTCGGGTCTCGGTAATATTTTACTTTATTCGATAGAAAATGACACTCTGATTATTATGACATGTCATATGTCAACTTTTGACATTTTTGCAATTGGATTACTGGAAATTGTCCGAATTGACGATTTGACTCGAAATACCAAGTGTGTGGTACCAATTAGTACCAAATTATTCGTAAAAAAATGATTTTTCCAAATATGCTAATGAGCCAACTTTGTTCCATTTGAAAAAATTGAGATATGATCAAAATATGATTTGGGCATCTTTTAACCGGCCAGGACAAGCCACAAAAAACATCAGACTATCAAATCTATTTTTTCACGACTCCTTGATTAAAAATTAGTGTTTTTAAAACAGCCATGGCACTCTAGATTGAAATTTTTATCAATAATAACGACTGATAACACCATAACAACTAACTAACCATAATTCTTACTAGAGTTGCCAACCTAGTTTTGGGCGTGAAATTTAAATAATTCTTAGAGATATAGCATTCTATTCAAAATGTCATTTTCTATTGAATACCTAAAGTATACAAATACTGAGGGTGCCATTTAAAAATCGAAAGTTGTAGTAATTTCCGGTGAAACAGAAAGTGACCAAAAACAGCCGAATAAGTCAATCAATCCTAATTTATATCAATATCGTATATATTTTTTATATCAATTATATCGTATATACGTTAATACCTTTGAATAAGAAGACTAAGGAAGAAGCATATCAAAAATCTTGTTCTATACCGTTGTACATTTTAATTCCGATTTTTTCCAACTAACGTTATGTTAACGATATTTAGATGAAGATTGGTGTCTGGGAGTTTTTTGACAAGGGAAATTTGATTTCGATGCCAATATGACTCCTACTTGTAGGGGGCGCCACTTGCATATGTTTTAACTGGTCTGAGGAGTAATAACTTTTCGTCCATATCCGTTTAAAACTACTGAGAAAAATTTGCATTTTCGTAGTTTTTTACGAAAAAAAGGTCTCTTGATAAAAATCTCAACGAGTAATGGTTCTCGAGATATTTGGAATCGAAATTATCAATGCATGTCATCATTGACAAAAATTGAACATGTTAACAAGATAGTACGGTTATTAGCCTGAAATAAATTAATTTTAAATGCATTTTTGCCAAAGGTTCAACAAAAATTCATCATATTTTTTTCCAGAAAACAATACGATGAATTTTGAATATGATCTGAATACATTTTGAACCACCCTGTATATCGCTTCCATCCCTTTCGTTCTATTTATTAATATTTTCTATTTTCTTTCGTTCTATTTATTCTATTCGTTCTATTTCTAACGCTGTTTGGATCATATTATATCAACTGATTTAAAATCGGTTGATATGATCCAAACGCCATTTAAAGGTGCAATTTCCTAGCCACGTCTGGTGTCCGCAGCCTGCCGCGCACTAATTCATTTCCCTATAACGCGATACGCGATACATTACTTTTCATTGATATACAAGTTTAGCCACGTACGTTCAAAAAACGAACCAGCGTGCGGCGAGACGTGGACGCCAGACGTCGCTAGGAAATCGCAACTTAAGTGAGGCGTGCGCAACGTCCAAGTGTACTTAATCCAAGTACACTTGTACCCGTGCTTGTACCGTGTCAGCCGGGCTTTAATGCCCCAATGCATTTATAAAAATTTTTATTAAATATAGAAACAATTACAGATAATAATTTCCGTTTCTCTTTGTTTCAGATATGACTGCATTAACACAGAACCCCAACGACAAACCTAGAACATGTTTGGTTCAATAAAAGATGACAAACATCTGCACTCTCATGGTGGAGATCAATCTCATAAGGAAGTTGTATGCATTTTTTCTATTATTTCTATACCTCAACAACTCGAGCGCGTATCTTCTCTTGGTTGACGAAGGCTTACAATCCGGAGATGTCATATTCAACGCGTCCGTCTATCGTTTGGGATCGGACAGACTGTACGAAATCAACTATAAAAGATCGGCCCCCTTTGTACAATCACTTCTTCGAATTGATTCGAAAAATGGTCAAGTATCGCTTGTGGAACCTCTTCGATGCAACGGACTGTATTATCCCACATTATTCACAGTCCACATAGATTCAACATCAAATAGAATAAGAGATATAGATTATTATAGTTTACCTCTAAGGATATTTATCACTGGCAAAGACTGTACTGACGATGCTCAAGAAGATTTCGATTATTTAAACGAACTTAGTAATAGGGAAAGGCGAAGTAGTCGGTCAGACTTTTGGAACCCTTTTGCGCATGTCCATCCTTCGATCAAAGAAAAAGTCAACGAAGCTAAACAATGGGTGTCGGAAACTTACGCATCGTTTGCCATTCCTACTGCCGGCAGGTGGCAGAAAATATGCCTGAGACAATCTCAATTTATTAACTCCATAACCAACTTTCTTCCGCTCACTGTCTTAGAACATTGTACAGTAGATTTTCATTATGTTAGCGATGAGAGATTTAAGATAGAGCGTAGTCAGGGAGATTTGGTGGCAAGTAAAGATGTGTGTATCGTCGAACCCATGTGGAAAGTTTCTATTTTATTTTCCACCATATGTAAAGATGTTAACTTATTAAATTCCGAACACAGATTGAAGATTGTTTATCATCATCAACAATTCAACGATACCGATATAGCTAAAAGAGTGAGACGTGAATTAAGAAATCAGTCTCCATTTTTCGAACAACATTTATATGTGGCAAGTGTATTAGAAGAATGCGAACCGCCTGTGGTGGTGACTAGTGTAAAGGCAAGAGACCCCGAGAATAGTCCTATAAGCTATTCAATGACTAGTTTATTGGACTCCCGTACCCAAGCTATGTTTGACATTGACCAAAAAACGGGAGTTGTTAGCACAAAAGTTCAGCTAGATCGAGAACTTGTAGATGTTCACTATTTCCGAGTAACAGCTTTGGATGATAGTTTTCCACCTAGATCTGGAACTACCATGCTTCAAATCAACGTATTAGATGCTAACGATCATTCTCCGGTATTTGAAATGACGGAATATGATGCTAGCGTGCGAGAAAGCGTCAGTGTGGGTACCACTGTAATAACCCTAAAAGCCACCGATCAAGATATAGGCAAAAATGCGGAAGTTGAGTATTTTATCAAAAATATTAATGGAGGTGGTACCTCAAGCGAAGAGGAAGACAATCAGGCGTTCAAAATTGATCCAAAAACCGGGGTGATAACAACAAGAAGTTTACTAGACCGGGAAACCACAGAGGTATATACCATACTTGTTGAAGCATCAGACTTGGCCAGTCCACAAACATCGAGAAGATCTTCCACTGCGACAGTAGTTGTAAACATTCTTGACGACAACGATAATTACCCTCAATTCTCCGAAAGGACATATTCGGTGACACTTAACGAAGACATAAGTTGGGGCGACAATCCGGTTATTGCGAATATTAAAGCCGTAGATGCTGATCAGGGAGTGAATGCCGTAATTCGTTATGCCATTATCAGCGGTAACACTCAGTCTCAATTTGCCATAGATAGTTTAACAGGAGACGTTTCGCTAGTGAAGCCCTTAGATTACGAAACACTAAGAAATTACCGGTTAGTTATTAGAGCACAGGACGGCGGTAGCCCGGCAAGATCTAATACAACACAACTATTAGTAAATGTAAAGGATGTTAATGATAATGCACCCAGATTTTATACATCTTTGTTTCAAGAAAGTGTTCAAGAAAACGTTCCTCTTGGATACAGTATTTTAAAAGTCCAAGCTTACGATGCTGATGAAGGTCTTAATGCAGAAATCAAATACGCAATATCTCCTAGAGATTCCACAGGAGGTAGCACAGAAGATCTACCTTTATCAGTTGATTCGCACTCTGGTTGGATTTATACGACAAGAGAACTAGACAGAGAGGAACAATCAAAGTTTATGTTTCAAATTATTGCTTCTGATCAAGGCGTACCTCCACTTTCGGCCAGCGCCAGTGTAATTATAACAGTACAAGACATTAATGATAATGATCCAGTGTTTGAACCTAAAATATATGAATCCGTAGTTGCTGAAGATGATCCACCAGGTACTCCTGTAGCAACAGTAACCGCATCGGATGCCGACGAAGACAGTAAATTACACTATGAAATTAGCAATGGAAATACTCGAGGACGGTTTGCCATTACTTCTCAAAGTGGCAGAGGAGTCATTACAGTAGCTCAACCCTTAGATTATAAACAAGAAAAAAGATACGTACTAACCGTTACTGCTTCCGATTCTGGAGGAAGAACTGATACTGCAACAGTTTATGTCAATATAACCGATGCTAATAACTTTGCTCCCGTTTTTGAAAACGCTCCATACTCAGCTAGTGTTTATGAAGATGCAGTAATTGGAACTACCGTTTTAGTTGTGAGTGCGACAGATAATGATGTAGGACTTAATGCACAAATTACTTATTCTTTGGGAGAAGACATAGGCGTTGATTCGCCTTTTAACATCAACCCACAAACTGGAGCGATTATCACGACAAAACCATTAGATAGAGAAACAGTTTCGGGTTATCTGTTGACCGTCACTGCCAGAGATGGTGGTAATCCTCCGATGTCGGACACAACTGACGTTGAAATTTCGGTTATAGACGTTAATGATAATTATCCTCAATTTAAACAAGCTGCGTATTCTGGTAGCGTGCCCGAGGATGCCTTGGTAGGAACATCTGTTGTCCAAGTTGCTGCTACAGATGCAGACATAGGTTTGAATGGTAGAATTCGATATACTCTAAGCGAGAAAGACCAAGAGGACGGTTCATTTGTAATTGACCCAGCCAGTGGAGTAATTCGTACAAACAAAGGTCTCGATAGAGAATCTGTAGCGTATTACGAGTTAGAAGCTTACGCTATTGATCGGGGTTCACCAACGTTAAGTAGCTCGGTTCCAGTAACAATTAGAATAGAAGATATAAACGATTCTCCTCCGGCGTTTGAATCTGATAAGATCGTATTATACATTCCTGAAAATAGTCCGATCGGATCTACAGTTGGAGAAATATATGCTAAAGATCCTGATGAAGGTGTAAATGCTATTGTTCAATATTCTATTATAGGAGGTGAAGATTCCCAGAGTTTTTCTTTAATAACTCGACCAGGGTCAGATAAAGCAGAACTTCTAACTATGACCGAATTAGATTATGAATCCCCGAAGAAGAAATACGATATTGTTGTTCGTGCAGCAAGTCCACCATTAAGAAGCGATGCTCATGTAGAAATTGTAGTGACAGATGTGAATGATAATGCACCAGCACTCAAAGATTTTCAGGTCATTTTCAATAACTTCAAAGATTGTTTTCCCACAGGTCCTATTGGCAAAATACCTGCATTTGATGCTGATGTATCAGATAAACTTCATTTCAAGATTCTTTCCGGAAATAACGCAAACTTAATCGCTCTTAATGAATCTACTGGTCAGCTTGTATTATCGCCACAGCTCAATACCAATGTGCCAAAACTAGCATCTATGGAAGTATCAGTAACCGATGGAGTAAATGAAGTGAAAGCGTTAATGCAGTTAAATGTACGATTAATCACAAAGGAAATACTTTTCAATTCTATTACAGTCAGACTAAATCAGATGACAAAGGAAGCTTTCTTGTCACCGCTCTTAGGGTTCTTTGTCGACGCCTTGGCCGCAATAATTCCTTGCCCTAAAGAAAATATATTTTTATTTAGTATTCAGGATGATACCGATGTCAGTTTGAAAATTCTAAATGTTAGTTTTTCTGTACGAAGACCTGACACTCCAAAGGAGGAATTTTACGTCCCTCAGTTCCTCCAAGAACGGGTCTATTTGAATAGAGCAGTTTTAGCAAGACTTTCAACGGTCCAGATTCTTCCTTTTGATGATAACTTATGCGTTCGAGAGCCTTGTTTAAATTATGAAGAGTGTTTGACTGTTTTAAAATTTGGGAACGCCTCTGGATTTATTCATAGCGATACAGTTTTATTTAGGCCTATTTACCCCGTAACAACATTTACTTGCAAATGTCCAGTGGGTTTTACTGGGTTTCGCGAACATTATTTATGTGATACTGAAGTTAACTTATGTTATTCTTCGCCGTGCCAAAACAACGGTACTTGCAAAATTAAAGAAGGCGGATATACTTGCGTTTGCCAAGAAGGTTTTACAGGAGATAATTGTGATGTTAAATTATCAGAGGAAGAATGCTTCAAAAATAATTGTAAAGTTGATTTCAATTGCAATCCCAAACAAGACAAACATGGTAACTTTGTTTGTGAAGACTGTGGCTTTCTTTCTGAAGAGGAGCATTACACGCCAACTTGTCACTTAAAAAGCAGAAGTTTTACTAAAACAGCATTTCTAACGTTTCCAAGTCTTAAACAAAGACACCGTTTACATATCAAGATGAAATTTGCCACACAAACACAAAATGGATTACTTCTTTACAACGGCAGGTATAACGAACAGCATGACTTTATAGCATTGGAAATAGTCAAAGGAAACCTGCAGTTTTCATTTTCATTGGGCAGTTCCAAAACGAAAGTTATCGCGACAATTCCTGGAGGCGTATCAGATGGTAAATGGCATTCTGTGGTCGTAAATTACTACAACAAAACAGCCACTCTTTCTATCGACGATTGTGATACGGCTTTGTCTTTAAAACATGGCAGAGAATTAGGAGGAAAATGGGCATGTGCTAGTTTTGTTGAGCACACACTGGAGGCTCGATGTGCTTCAATAACAGAGACCTGTCATCGATTTCTGGACCTTACTGGTCCTCTACAACTCGGAGGTTTGCCTTCATTTTCCTCCAAATTTCAAATTCAAAATACTCATTTTGATGGTTGTATTTCCGATTTCGAAATTGATTATAAATTAGTCGATTTGAATGCATTTGTCACTGATAATGGCACGACCGTAGGATGTCCGGAAAAGAGACCGTTTTGTAACTCGAATCCTTGCCAAAATGGTGGAATTTGTTCTGAAGGTTGGGCAGTATTCAAATGTAAATGTAGAGAAGGGTTTGGTGGTAGAGATTGTGGCGAGAAAATAGGCTTACCTTGGCATTTTTCTGGAGACGGAACTCTCTCTTTTAATCCTCTTTTAAGACCTATACAATTACCATGGCTAAACGCACTTTCTATAAGAACTTTACAAGAGGACACTTTTATTATGTCTATTCAAGTGGGACAAAATAGTTCAGCTGTAATTTCCCTTCATAAGGGATTCATTACGTATTTGTATAACGGAGAAGCTTTAAATCTCAATTCTATGTTCCTCTCTGATGGCGAATGGCATCATATCGAAATATCATGGATCGGAACAGAAATTAAGTTCTCAATCGACTATGGAGAATTTGAAAAATTTATTCCCTTTTCGGAAAAAGTGCAAGGATTGTTTGTAGGCAAGATCTTAATTGGAGGGCCTGATAATTCCTACAGCAGTTTAAACGCTGGATACAATTACCTTGAAGGTTGCGTACAAGATGTTCGAATAGGAAATCAGCAAACTGCTTTGGTAAGACCTACGGTTAAAGAAAACGTTGAAGAAGGTTGTTACCCTGTAACAGAATGCCAAGCACAATGCCCTGATTCATCACAGTGTACTATTAGTTGGGGCAAATCCCAATGCGAATGTAACAGTGGCCATGTTGGTCCATTGTGTGTTCCAGTTTGCTCAGTAAATCCATGTGAAAATACAGGCTCCTGTAAAGAAAATCTTTTAGATATCCGAGGATATGAATGTATGTGTAACTCAACTGATTATTCGGGAGATTACTGTGAAAATAAACAAGCACAACCATGCCCAGCCAGTTGGTGGGGTTATCCAGTATGCGGACCATGTCATTGCAATGTTGAAGCCGGATATAATCCCGATTGCGATAAAAATACTGGGAAATGTCATTGTAAAGAAAACCATTACCAACCTAAACATTCTACGGAGTGTCTGCCTTGCGATTGTTATTCTATTGGATCCTACAGTGGTCAGTGCGATCACGAAACCGGTAAATGTCGATGTAAGGAAGGTGTTATTGGCCAAAAATGCGATTCTTGTCCAAATTCCTATGCAGAAATTACATTGAAAGGTTGTGAAGGTAAGTAACAATTTGGTATTAAAGAGTATGCGTCCTTATTTCATGTTTTACAGTTATATATGATGGTTGTCCAAGATCTGCGGCGAATAACATTTGGTGGCCCAGAACACTATTTGGCCAAGAAGCAGTGGAAGCATGTCCAAAGGATGCTCATGGAAGGGCGTCCAGAAAGTGTGACAACGATCTTGGTGGATGGCAGGAACCTGATATGTTCAACTGTACTTCTGAAAAATTTGTCGAATTGAGAGAACAGGTAATTTAGATTTTTATACTTTTTTTTCAAATTCTGACGTTGAAATATTAATTTTAGTTGTCTAAAATAGTATCTGGTGAACTTACTCTAAATACATTCGTCGCTATCAAGCTAGCTCACGATTTGAATAAGGCCACCAACGAAACAAAACATTTATATGGAGCTGACGTCCTTGTAACATATGACTTGGTAAAAGAGTTGTTAAAATACGAATCTAGAGTTCATGGCTTAAATTTGACACATAGTCAAGATAAGGATTACATTACTAATATTGTTAACTCTTTAAATGTAGTACTAGTTGAAAAATATAACAATTATTGGAAGAGAATAAAAGAACTAACAGGAGATAATGTAGAAAATATAATCAGCTCAATGGAAAAATATATTGGAATTTTATTGGAGAGCCAGCACGATACTTATACCAGTCCATTCGAAATTGTTACCCCAAATATGGGTAAGGATAATAGTATATTGTTTTATTAGGAGTAAAAATGACACTTTTTGCGGCGAGGCTGTACGTTTTTTGCCTTGTTGGACATACCATTGCGATAAAAAAAAAAGTAGTACAAGAATTAGTACTCCCAGATAGATATCGTCGTCACTATGAAAACATTACAATTATGCCACCTAACTTTTTAGGCGGCGTTACCATGAATTTGGTAATAATTGGTAGGTATGCGTGGCGAAATAAAAGTATAAAAAATTTACCTACCTTTTAAAAATGGGCAATTTTTAATATTTTATTATAGACCAGCAGATTAAATCATACTTTGTTGTACTACTTTTTTTTATCGCAATGGTACAGCCGAGGCACAAAAAGTCATTTTTACTCCGAATAGAACATGCAATTTTTTTTCAAACGCCAAAAATAATTTTTCAAACAATTTCAAACGTTCCAAATAATTTAAAAAGATTCAAAAGTAAAAAAAAATATACAGGGTCCGGCAATAGTGCGTCGGGCATCTGTAGCTCCTATAATTAAAGTTAGGAATTTTGTTTAAGCGCAAACCTAAAGTATGTATTAGGATGTATTTCAGAAAAATACTTTAACCTCTACAGGGTGGCCCAAAAAATGTGAGTGGGTCGGGATTTTTTTAAACAACCTGTATATTATTGAATTTTTGGCTTGGTTTGGTTTGTAACCATATGAAATAATACTGCGTATATCTGCGAAAATATTAAAAATTTTGAAATACTTTAAATACAAAAAATTTTCATTTTTTAACTCTCCATCTAGTAAAAAAATAATATACAGGGTGTTCCATTTAAAAAACAAAGAAAAACTATTTTAAATTTTAAAAAGTTTGTCATAGAATTTTGAACACCCTGTATGGTTTAAGATTAGAATATTTGCAGCAAAATAAGTACATACCCACTACAGTAAATACCTAATATATTTTTGATTTGAGGACATTTCTTGTATGTTTAATAATTTTTTTAAAAAGGCTGAAAAAAGTTTTTTTTTTATTTATTTATTAATATCTTCGAAACTATCCAAACATATTTAATAATATCTTAGGATTATGTAAAGTGATCAAAAAGGAGGTAAAAAATGCAATAATATACAGTGTGTTCCATTTAAAAAAATCATCCCGACCCACTCACACTTTTTTGGGCCACCCTGTAGAGGTTAAAGTATTTTTCTGAAATACATCCTAATACATACTTTAGGTTTGCACTTTTTATTACAGGAGCTACAGATGCCCGACGCACTATTGCCGGACCCTGTATATCGAGAACTATAGTTACGCTCGTTGAATTTGACACTTTATGTTTAATAATATATTTTCGTACTAAGCATAAATTGGCGTAAAAGTGCTTTACTTTTATGCCTAGGCGTTAAAATGACTTTTTTATATTGTCAGTCACGTCGCAAAAATTAATACTTTTGTGACGTTAGAAAAGAATATATATTTTTTGTTTTTTATAACTAACTTATATTTTTGTTTTAGTACTAGGCTTAGATATTGTAACTCCGGAGTCACTCTATGGTTATGAACCAGAATTAACTATTCCAGTCTCTCCTGGAATGCAGTCTTATACAACTGAAAGCGTAGTTCTGCCCGATACATCTCAATTTCTACAAGAAAGCAAAGTTCAAATTCAAGGACCTCTAGTAGGTTTTCCAAAGTACAACAACTACCTCTTAGATAAAACCAAATTCGACCAAAACACCAAGGTGTTCATACCAATGACTTTGCTTGGAATCAAACCGTTAGAACAAGGGGAAATAATTACCAAACACAGTCTACCAGGAGATGGTGCGATTGTTAGTTATATTCAATACAAGCAAGCTGGGAGTCTTTTACCTAAACTATATGACGAATCAGTGGTTAGACGATGGGGTGTTGATATTACAATTGGTTCACCATTGATATCGATTGGTGTGTTAGTACCCGAGTATATTGACGCGATAGAGTCGTCCACACAAAATGACGTGAATTTTGATAACATAAAGTTCTCGGATATTACTCTGCCCGATGAAAAATGGACCAAAAAGGTATTTCCGGACCCGGAAGTCAAAATACACGAAAATGATGCTCATTATTTGCGTGCGAGGATACGTCGGGATAGAGATGTGAGAAGAAAACTTTTGTATAGGAATTTATCAGGAGTTCCATTGAAGGTGCCAGTGAGACTGCAGATTTGGTTAAGTTCCAACAATACAATTTTTAATGAAAGATCTAATCCACAATGCGTTCATTGGTCAACAACCCGAGGGTAAGTGTATTGGAAATGTTTATTAATTATTAATTGATACCACAAAATTCCAAATCATCATGTATTTATCTTCCAAATATTTAAAAATATATAGAGGGTGTCCCAATATTCCGTGGAGATAGAACTACTACGTATTTTTGGAATAAACTTAAGTTCATTGGACACAATTTACCTCTATACAAAAGTGCTTGGTTTGTCCGCTAGAGGGCATAAAACTTAAAAAAACACATTTTTTATGATATTTTAAGAACCGTTATTCCGATTTGAATGAGATTTTGCATGTCTATGTTTTGCTAAGTGCTTTAACATTTGACTTTCTCAAAAAACAAGAAAAAGTACGGGAAGAGTCAAAACTACCCCCACCCCTACATAAATTTTAGTACAAATGGTCCCTCTAGTATTTGCTACATTTTTTGTCTCTTGTAAAAAAAACACCACATGGCATAGTTTTTGAGAAAAAAAAATTTGGAAAATTTATTCTTACAAAGCAACCCTACAAAATATTCAGGGAGTTCCAGTATTCCGTGGACATAGAACAACTAAGTAGTACTTTTTTAATCAAAATAAGGTAATTGCACATAATTTACCTTTATACTAAAGTGCTTCGTTTGTCCGTTAGAAGGTATCAGTCAAAAATAAACCCGATCGTGAATTAATTTAAAATTTATTCTTTCTTTAAGCTTTTTATGAAGCTTATTGTCAAATTTAATTTGTGATACAACATAAAATTCCGTATTTTCACTAACTAGATTATTAGAGCATAATAGATTTTATGCGTCTCCATAGTTTGATATGACAAAAAATATTTTTTGGTAAGTCAGCTTTGAGAAAATAATTTTTTTCCTAAAAAAGTATGCGCGGTTGCGTTTTTACAACATGACAAACAATGTAGTAATTACTAGAAAGACCATATTACATAATATTTATACTAAAATTTATGTAGGGGTGGGAGTAGTATTTACCCTTCATGTACTTTTTCTTGATTTTTGTGAAAGTCAAATTTTAAAGCACTTAGTGAAACATAAACACCCAAAATCTCATTCAGATCGGAATAATAGTTCTTAAAATATCTGAAGAAATATGTTTATTTTTTTAAAATTTGATGCCCCCTAACGGACAAACGAAGCACTTTTGTATTGAGGTAAATTTTGTCCAATTAACTTATTTTTATTCCAAAAATACGTAGCAGTTGTATGTTCACGGTATATTGGGGCACCCTGTATAACCATGAAATTTGATTTAGTTACAAGCCAGAATTTTTTTTTCATTATCAGAAGTATATAAAATAACTGTTTCAGCTTTGGAGAATGGTCAAGAGTTGGTTGCCGCACGGAATTGGATGAAAATTGGTTTGATACTATAAACGAAAATTCTATAGTAATAAATTGTAGTTGCAATCATTTAACAACTTTTGCCGTCTTAGTAGACGTTGTCGATTTAGAGGTATGTATACTACATTAATAATATAAATGCAATCAGAATCGTAAAATATACATCAACATTTACAGAAACGTAAAATGACGTATTTTATACAGAACTATGTAATGCGTACAACGAGAGAATATATGACAGGGACAGTGGATTTATGTTATTTTATTTAAATGCTTGTCAAATGTTTTCTTATAGTCTAGGAGGCAGTGAAGATTTTCGGTACTTATTTTCACAGTCAACAAATACCGATAGAATTATTCGGTATGTTATTCTAAGCAAATTTCTTGTATATGTATATTGTTTGCGATGGGTTGAAGCGGAAAATGCGTCAGAAAGTACAAAAAATATACTGCACTTTTTTTCTAGCGATAAAAATAGTTCTATTAGTGAGAGACGTTGTGCAGTTAAGAAAAAAATCTGGCTGATCTGAAAGAATGAGTAATATGTCTGGCAGGTGAAAAATTAGATCAGAATTATTGAAACCATTGCTCTTTTTCAAACCATTGCAGCCCTAAAAATTTGTTAGATGATAGTTTATCTCCACATCACAGCTACAAATATAGTCTAGCTAATGTGGAACATCCCGAAAGCTTTGTCAGACTCGTTCAACGCTCGTCAGGCACGCTCAATTCAAAATGTTCAATTATACAGGTGATTGTTGTCATCTCTACATGTTTTTACTTTTCATAATTTATGATAAGAAAAGTATTAGTCTAGGGCGAAATTTGACTATGGCTGCGTTAAGCACTTATTTCAACGTTTTGAGACCCCAGGAATCCAAAAAATATGATTTTAGCAAAATGTCAAAATATCGTCCGTCCGTCATGAAAAAAACTTCATTCGCCAACTTTGTAACTGTCAGAGATACGAGATAGTGGTATGTTGTAGAAAATGTAATTCCCCTCAAATTCGATCTCTTGGTTTTATTTTGATCTCCTTTAGTTTTTGAGTTATAGCAAAAAAAACCAAGGTCACTTGTCCTAAAGTTGTCATCATGTGAATGTGTTTGAATTGATGGAGCGAGAGCGATTTTTAAAATAAAGAGTAATGTTTCTCGATTTTGTTGTATTGAAAATCATGAAATAAAATTGCGGAGTGCCAAAAATTTCCTGCGTCGGTACCCGTGTTTTAATATTTTTGGTCGTTGCCTAAATACGCACGTATTGCTGCCTCTCCCCATTTAACTACCTGACTTGTAAGTCTGGCGGGGCTTTTGTGATTGTAAATGAGAGCCAGAAGTGTATATTCTATGATATTATAGTATTATTTATTATGTGATAAATTTTCAAGTCAGTTTTCAAAATTTTGTAACTTTTGCAATTTTCAAGATGCCGCCAGGCTAATGTCACATCCGAATAAACTATTATACCGGGTGCGTGTTAAAAGTGGCCCACCCCTAGCCAAATCCCAACATAGGCCCAGGACCAGACACGAAAAACATTTTTTTATTTTTGGAATTCGATCTTTTCTAAACGAAAATGTCAAAAGTTGACATATGATATTCCATTCTATTCAGAATGTTTTCTATCTATGAATATATTTTCGAAAATTCGAATTTTCTATCGAATAAAGTGAAAATATACCGCGGGTGTCATTTAAAAATCAAAAGTTGCAGTCATTTCCGGTGAAACAGGAAGTGACAAAAAACAATTGAAAACGTCAATCAAGCCAAATTTATGTTATATTCTAACATATCAAATCTCCTTTTTTTATATCTGAAAAAATAGAAGTTATAGGGGTGAGCCACTTTTCAGATGCACCCGGTATATTCACCCACTGGGAAAATAAGTACAAAAAAATTCACTGCCTCCTGGACTATTACTTATTTTATCAAAAACCAAAAGATTCATTAGATTAAATAGAGATATTTATATTATATTAACTAGAGAAATTAAATAGAGATAATAGTAGATACAAACTATCTCACATGGCGACAATTAGACATGAAAAACACAACACAACAAAATAATTAATTATTTAAAATACTTATTGTTAATAAGACTTAGTACTTATAAATTTCCAGCCATTGCCGCTAGAGATTGACCTCCCTAATCATCATGTCATTCCCAAGCCGTCTTTGACGCCTTTTATTCGAACAACAGATTATTTCAACCGCTGTTTTAAAATTAGCACGGCTATTAAGAAAGAATTAACTGATATTTCAATTTTAGTATTTTTCCAATATTGCCATATAAAAGCCTATTTTCAAAAGTCGCATCACTTTTTTTAGCTTTTCTCTTCTATTTACGTCAGTCCGTTTCCGTTTTAAAGTAGTTTTAATTATAAAAGCCTATCATCGTCGCAAATATGTAGCCAGAGCGCCACTTTTCTGGTATAATAGTTTAATAGCTTAATAATTGTTGGTTAAAAGCTGCACTCTGTCTCTCATCACGGTTTTTATGTAGCCTATTTAATTTCAATTAACATTTTCTTCGTCCGTTAAAGAGTTTTTGTTTCGACCTTTTTTATATGATTAAATTCTGATTTACTAATTAAAATGCGAACCTAATACTTTTTCAGATTTTTTTTTAATATTTTTTTTAAATAAACCTAACATAAAATTAGTAAAGAAATATGAAAATAAAAGTATTGATAGGTGCTATAAGGAAGTCTATAGTTAGTTTTTAATGCGTTAATTTTAAAGTATAATTATTGTAGTTTAGCTATTTATGTATTTTAATTTTAAAATACTTTAATGCTTAACTAAAGTCTTTTTTTAGTACATTCCGGAGCCGTCATTACTGGAAGACATTTCAAGTTATAGCTGTTTTTCAATATCCTTGCCCCTCTTACTGGGAACTTATTTAATACTGGCTCTGATCAGGGGCTTGCAGACGAACTCGAACACTATAAGAAAAAACTTAGTTCTTTGCGTTTTTCTCGCCGAATTGTTGTATTTTGTCGTTTTGAAAGCAAGAAAAGCTATGGTATCAATCGAGGTAATACTCTTCTATTTTTTTTTTATTTTATTCCATAAGACTTAAGCTTCGTTCCGAATCTCAAAATTAGTGGAATAAATTAGTGGTTTCAATTAGCATAGAAGTTTGTTTCTCTAATTTCAATATAAGCATTCAGAAGTCAAAATTGTAGTAATTTTCAATTAGTAGAAAAAGTTAACAAACTTTTAACTTTTTCACCTAGTTAAGACTGATTTTCATGCATTCGTTATCCGACGATACGATGATACGATATTAATTTTATTGATTGAATTTAAAAACTTCTATTGGTTAGAAAATTACGCAGTTTTTATACAGGGTGGCACTTCTCAAACGACTCGGAGGCTCCAAGGCGAACGGTAATTTATATCAAAATGAAATTTTGGGAGCAGTTGTAGGTTAATTTAGAGCATTTTTTTAAATATTAGAGTTCTACAGGGTTTTCCCTAAAAAAGTTACGCCTCAAAGTTGTATTTTTTTGTAATTGAACACTCTATATATTAATAGATTTTCGGATTCTAGGAAAAAAATAAAGGTGAGTTTTATTAAAGAAGCATATGGCTAAAATGTAAAGATTTTGACCTATTTAACATTTTGTGAAAACGAAGAATAAAATAACAGCTATCTAAATTGTAATCTACCTTATATAGCCTGATATTTATTTAATATAACCATAGTATGTTAAACCAAATTAAAATTTGACAAGAAAAGTTATACAGGGTGAGACAAAGCTAATATTGAACATTGGTCACTTTTAAAAGCAAATTACTCCTTTATTTTAAATGGAAAACCCAGTATATTATTCTGGTGTTCAATGGAGAACTTATATATAGTGATGAGCCAAACCGTGATTTTCTGTTCACAGGCTTCCCTGTGACAGCGACTTTGTATTATCTGTGACTCTTAACTGTGACTGCGACTTTATGATTATGAATCCGAAAGCACAATCACGGCTAAAATATAAGATACGATACGAATGATGCGATTCTGTTGTTATTGTTATACTAATTTTTATTTGTCCTTTATCCAAGGCCGCTGAAATAGAAAACACTAAACAGTGGGTAAAAGGTATATTAAAAAATAAAAATAAAACAATTTTTTTATTAAAAGAAACCAACGGGAAAAGAATAAAATATGCAATATGCTCATAACACTTTGTATTAAAATAAACGAAATATATAAAAAATGAAGTTTCTAAAAAAAATAAACAGTATAAAGGTAAAACTTTATGTTTGGCTTTAAAAAAACCTGCTAAACTAAAAAGGAACCAAACCGATTCGTAGTGATAAAAAATAGTAATAAAATATAAAATACATAAAATATTAAATCACTTCTAACAGTCACTGTCTTTAGATCACTTTGTCAGATATCTATCCTATGAGACGTACGTCGTGACTCGTGACTGTGAACTGAGTCACGACCGGCGCCATCGGCAGCTGCGTTCGCGACGCGCGACGTCCCGCTCTGTGAAGTATTTTCTCGTTACCAGAGAAATCACAATTAACTGTAATCGTCACGCTTTAGCAAGTCACCGTTTATTTTCAAATCAGTCACAGGCCGTGACTGTGATTATAGAATATCAGTGACAAAGTCACAGTTACCGATATTTCACTCATCACTACTTATATATCTTCAAAATATTATTAAGGTTGCCTACCCCTCAAACAAGGATTTCCCTAGATTTTTTTTATTTCTATGATTTTGCGTCAGTAGATCTTTACTATTTGAAAAAAAAATTAAATGACTGTGTTAGTTTAACAAAAATTAAAGGATATAGGGTAAAATATTGTAATAAAAAGATAATAAAATAATTAAAACATATTTTGCTTATCACATAATTAAAACTACATATAAACCTATAATTATGTAACAAAAATTAACTAGATGAAATCAACTGCTTAAAATGCTTCTTTTTCTGTTTACTGATATAAAATAATTCTCTTTTCAAAAGATCTTTTCATGTTAAAACGCATACGTGGAATTCTATTTCGAAAAACAACAACAATATGTGGTCGACAATATGCACACTCCATTCACCAACTAATAGAATCATATTAATTCTCTCTAATGTAGGATAAGTTTTCATTTTCGTAAAATTTCTTAGTTTTTTTTGTTTTATCTTAAAACACAAAAACATCACATAATGATAACACAAAATGATAACTAGCTGCTAAAGTTGAACTAATTAGACAGCTATGTTAAAGTAACGTCAGACATTTCACAGATCACAGCCACCTAGATTTTAGCAAACCCCACACTGCTCACGACCATCCAACATCGGGTGTCTTTTGAAGATTTTCCCCTCCATAAAAAAAAAGATTTTATCAAATAATAAAGATTTACTCACACTAAATCATAAAAATGAAAGTATCTTGGAAAATCGTTGTTTGAGGGGTAGGCAATCTTAATAGTATTTTGAAGAGACATGAATTTTCTATTAAATATTGGAACAATATACTGGGTGTTCCATTTAAATTAAAGGAGTAACTGGCGTTTAAAGGTTGTGATGTGGGTGCCTCACCCTGTATAACTTTTTGGGCCAGGTTTTAATTTGATTTATAGTACAATAGTTATTTTAACTATATATTAGGCCATACCTGGTAAATTTCAATTTAGGTAGCTTTTATTGAAATTTAAAAATTGTTCTTCATTTTTAGAAAATGTTAAACAAGTTAAAAACTTTACATTTCAGTCATATACTTCCCTAATAATACTCACCTTTATTTTTCTCTTGTAATCCAATAATCAATTACTATATATATTGTTCCATTACAAAAAACACAACTTGATGTGTAACTTTTTTTGGGGACACCCTATAGAACTTTATATATTTTTAAAAAATGCTCTGAATTAATCTACATATGTTCACTAAATTTAATTTCAATACTGTCGTTCTCCTTGGAGCCTCCGCGTCGTATGAGGGCCGCCACCCTGTATTTATTGGCTTTTCATGTCTCCGTTTATCGGATATACGAATTGCTTGTGATTGGTGTAATTTTATATTTTCATTTCCATAATGATTTTGCTGTTATACTTATATTTTTATTAAGGTTAGATTAAATTTGTCAAAAGTGTCAAAACGGCTGGAATAAAAAAATTTGCGCATGAAAAGTGGCGCGAAACCGCTGTGGCCAATCAGAGGGCCGTCGGACCATCGTATCAACGAAAAAGCTTGATTTTCATGAATCCGTTATACGTTGATACGATGGTCCGACGGTGGTGATTGGTCATAGCGTTTTCGCGCCACTTTTCATCCGTAAATATTTTACTTCAACGCGTCAACGGACCCGTTCATACGATAACGGACGTTTTGACAATTTTTTGACAAATTTAATCTAACCTTAATAAAAATATAAGTAAAATAGCAAAATCGTTATGGAAACGAAAATATAAAATAACACCAACGTACAGTGGTGGCCAAAAGTATGGAAACTTTTTACTTTTTAAAATATCACAGAAAATATTGCTATGCTTAAACTCTCTGGAATATAAATGAACAGCTTATCAGCAAATAAAAGTATTCCAAAAATTACACAGCGAAAAAAATCTGTTTAGCAATTTTTGTAGGAGAACAATAGATTTCTTGTGGCCAAAAGTATGGAAATCATAAATAAATACATTAAAATTATTTAGTTTAAGCTGATAAACGGTATGATTTGCTTCAGATAAATATAAACATCATGCCCAAGTCTAAATATTTATCTACGGATTTAAAAAATAAAATAGTTGAATTATACAAGAGCGGTTATAAACAAATTCAAATAAGTAAAAATTTAAACATTTTAAAAAGCACCGTTTCGAAAATAATTCGTAAATTTAATAAAACAGGGAACGTTTCAACAGCTTTTAAGTCAGGAAGACCAAGAAAGTTGTGCAACAGGACAATGAAAGTAATGAAGAGAATATCAATGGGAGATCCAAGAAAAACATCCACAGACATTTCTCGAGAAATGGGTGAAAGGGGAATATCGGTGTCTGCACGCACGGTGAGAAGAAGGTTGGATGACATGGGACTTTTTGGAAGAGTTGCGGTGAAGAAACCACTAATATCAAAGAAAAATAGGATGGCCCGCTTTAAATTTGCTCAAGATCATCTCACCTGGTCTTATCAGAAATGGAATACTGTACTGTTTAGCGACGAAAGTAAGTTTCAACTGTTTGGTAGTGACGGGAGACGTTATGTCCGAAGACCAAAAGGTACACGGTACAGCCATAAGTACCAGATGCCCACAGTAAAACATGGGGGTGGGAGTATAATGGTATGGGGGTGTTTTTCTCGCTCAGGTGTTGGTCCTCTTGTTAAAATTGATGGGATAATGACCGTTTTTTGTACAAAGACATATTGGAGAATAATATGCTGCCTCATACTGATGAAGAAATGCCACTCAGATGGTTGTTCCAGCAAGACAATGATCCCAAGCACAAATCTCGGTTTGTTCAAAATTGGTTAAATGAACATAATGTTCCACTAATGGATTGGCCCTCACAGTCTCCAGATCCTAACCCCATAGAAAATTTATGGGACCATTTGGATAGCAAAATTCGAAGCCATTCTATTTCAAATAAAAATGAATTATGGGAAGTGCTAAAAACTGAATGGGCGGCCATTTCCAGTAGAGAAGTAATTAATTCAAAGGGATATTCCACTAAATATTAGTAATTTTTATATTATCTTGAATTTTAATAAACATTCTTCTTAAGTTTCCATACTTTTGACCAAGAAAATATTCATAATTTTTTATATATTTTTTGATAGCTGTAATTTTTTATTTAAATGTATTAGGTTTTGTAGGAAATTATTTGTAGGTCACGATTATATAAGTCGTTTTATTTCATATTTTAATTTCTCAGCATAAATGACAAATTAAAAAGTTTCCATACTTTTGGCCACCACTGTATATCCGATAAACGGAGGCATGAAAATGCAATAAATTTAAAACTGCGTTATTTTCAACCAATCAAAGTCTTTAAATTCTACCAATGAAATTAATATCGTATCAACGTATCGTCGGACAACGGATGCATGAAAATCCAAGCTTAACGGATGCATGAAAATCAAGTTTAAAGCTGCTCATGCATCCGCTATCCGTTGATATAATGGTCCGACGGCGCTCTAATCGGTTATAGCTTTTTCGCGCCACTTTTCGTCCTTAAATTTTGTACTCCAAACGTCAACGGAGAAAGTTAAAAATAAATTTAACTTTTCGTACGATAACGGACGTTGTGACACTTTTTTGGCATATTTAATCTAAGCTTAATAAAAATATAAGTAAAACAGCGAAATCGTTATGGATATGAAAATATAAAATGACACCAATCACAAGCAAATCGTATATATGATAAACGGAGGTATGAAAATGCTATAAATTTAAAAAGTGTAATTTTCTAATCAATCGAAGTCTTTAAATCCAACCCATAAAATTAATATCGTATCATCGTATCGTCGGATAACGGATGCATGAAGATCAGGCTTAATTATTCAGGCTTTATTCTTCAAAATATGCAGAGTAATATCATTTGGCATTTGATTATCTTCCGTCAAGACAAATTGTGGCTAAAAATAAAAGTTTATTTTTTTATAAGCTAATTTTTTTATTAGGCTTTCTCTGTGGATACAACTAACTACCGCAAGCTGTTGCTACGATATTCTATTACTTTTAGTTGTATTTTTTAGATTCTGAATAATCGTAAATTTTTAAGTAAAAAGTATAATCGAAAACCACTAATTTCAAGGTTCTGAAATGAAGCTTTAAACATTAAAATACATTTTATTATCGTTTTTTTTCAGTTTTCATGCAAATTAGTTGCTATCGGTTTACATTATTTATGGCTTGCCTCGTTCTCGTGGATGTTGGTAGATGCAGTGCATTTGTATAGGATGCTGACAGAAATGAGAGACATTAACCATGGACCAATGAAGTTTTATTACAGTATTGGTTATGTGGGACCTGCAATAGTCGTGGCTCTGTCCGTAGGCGTCAGAGCACATCAGTATGGAAATTATTACTTGTAAGATTTTTATGAATATTTTAGACAAACCAATTAATTTTACTAATTTTTCAGCTGTTGGGTATCTCTATGAAAAGTGTTATATGGAGTTTAGTTGGTCCAATCTGCCTACTCACTTTTATCAACTTGGTTATCTTAGTGTTATCGATTCGAGCAGCTTTTACGCTACAAGACCACGTTCTCGGTTTTGGAAATCTGAGAACCCTGCTATGGGTTTCTGTTATAGCGTTACCGTTGCTCGGTGCAACCTGGGTTTTGGCATTGTTAGGAGCATCTGAACGTCATCCATTACTTATGCCTGCTCTATCCTTTGCTGTCCTGATACACGCAGCTTTTTCATTGGCGGGATATTGTTTCGCCAATAATAGAGTGCGTCAGAATCTTTTAAGAACGTTTATGCGCTGTATGGGCAAGAAAGTGCCGTTATTAGATACTCAGTCTGTTGTTGGAGTGCCAAGTACCAGTAGCCAAAATATAACAACTCATTCTGTAAGCTTATTATAATTATTTGTAGGCATTTTTATCATATTAATGTTTTAGCGTTCTGCTTTGGCGTACCACTCAAGTTTGGACCCAAACAGACGAAACATAGGAATATCTACTTCTAGTACTACATCCAGATCAACGACAAAAACAGGTTCTAGTCCATATCGGTAAGTTAGCATTTCTCATATTTATTTTATCATTACACACGTGTTAGCTGGCCAGATCATATATACGAAATTTTTTGTAATTCTGGATGATTGAAAGATTTGAAAATGAATTTCATATATAGTTTTAGTTAGGAGATAACCTGTTTCATTGAATTACCTTGGTGTGAAAAAATTATACTACAATAATTATATTAAGTTTGGATTTCATTTGGTTCACATACCTTATTACTATATAATTTTACGAATATTTCATTTTTCTTTGTAGAAGTGATACTCACCTACGCCATACTTCAACATCGACATCAAACTACAATTCGAATAGCGATGTGCCTTCTTATCTCAGAGGGTTTGAACAGGAAGAAAGAAGACCACGCCGAAGAGACATCAGCGGTGATGGCGAATACAGAGAAGGTACGCTATTAATCTATTAGTATACCATATTTTAATGAATTAAACAGGGTGTCCCAATATCCCGTGGACATAGAACTACTGCGTATTTTTGGAATCAAAATAAGTTTATTGGACACAATTTACCTCTATACAAAAGTGCTTCGTTTGACCGTTACAGCAAAACATAGGCACCCCCCAAATATCATTCAAATTGGTTCTTAAAAGATCTTAAAAATCATGTGTTTTTTAAAAGTTTGATGCCCTGTAACGGACAAACGATACACTTTTGTATATAGATAAATTGTGTCTAATGAACTTCTTTTGATTCAAAAAATACGCAGTAGTTCTTTGTCCGCGGTATATTGGACACGTTTCTTCACAAATCTCAACATCATAATCAAAATCGTTGACTAACAAAATATTATCTGAGAAACGCATATGAAACAGCAGAGGGAACGCGGACAATAAAAGGCAAAATCGGTAGCTTCGGACAAGTCGGCAACGCCGGACAAATAAACCATGTCCTCCCGAATTCAGTCAACCTGATAGGTGGAAATATTCGCACTTTTAATCGCATGAGCATAACGTTTTCCTATTGGCCAGTGCTACCTCCAATTCTATTCTCCTTACTAGAAATATTGGAAATATTGACTAGTACCAAAGAATATTATAATTTTAAGAACGCTCTTGTGGAAGATTTAGTGATTTGTCACACGGTGGCGCTTTTGAACATAATCGAAGCCTGAAAATGTTAATATTTTAAATTTTGAGGACTACGCTCGGCGATATTTCGTACGGTGTTGTCAAAATATATTTTGTTTCTCGATATTTAAAGAAATATATATTGATTATATATTTCGTAGTCGTTAGTACATGAGGCAACCTAAGGCTATAAAAACGTAACTATGAAAATAAAATTTAAGATTTTTATTTTTTTTTTGTACCTGCTAATATACTTCTGTTCCAATAAAAAATTAAATAGTATTAGGAAACTGGAGTAAATACGGAGAATAATAATTCGTTCTCTAAGATGGGCACTACTAAGTATTTTTTTAATTCGGCTCCTAAGGGGGTGTAATTATACAAAAAAAATAATATCTGTACTAGGAGTATGAACTTTTGCACAGAGTTTGTAGAGGTTTTTCTATCCTAAGAAACCCATCCCACCCTCAACGAACAATTTTTGATTTGCAGACAAAACTGCAGGAAATTTAGGATCATTTTTCTCCTCTAAAGTGCCAATCTTTGGTAAATACAATGCCATTAAGAGTTCAGGCAGTTGTTAAGGCGAAAGGTAATGTAACTCCGTATTAAACAAATTTCTTGTTGTGCTGTCCCAATATATAGTTGTCAGCAAATTTGGCTTGATTTTGGCAAAATAAGCTATTGT